ACCTTTTCCAGCAAGAGCAGCACCGGGTACAGGGGCGTGTTCAAGGATTCTGGCCGCTTCGGGGCGCGGTGCAGCGTGGATGGCAAGGATGTTTACCTTGGCTGTTTTGACACGGCGGTGGAGGCGGCGGTGGCGTACACGCGGGCAGTCGGCGAATATCAGCCTCCCACAGCGACGGCCTCTGCCTCTACCGCCTCTGCCTCTACCGCCTCTGCCTCTACCGCCCCTGCCTCCGCCGCCGCTGCCTCTGCCGCCTCTGCCTCCGTCGCCGCTGCCTCCACAACGTTCGCGCAGATGCCTCAGGCCGAGGCGCCGCTCAACAGCCTCGGCCTGCCGCTGCGGCCCGGTGCGAGCCCGTGCGCCTTCTACGTGCAGCACGGCGCGTGCCGGTTCGGCTCGAGGTGTCGGTACAATCACCCGGAGCCGACCCAGCTGCGGCAGATCGAAACGCTAGAACGGCAGATGCTGCGGCCCGGGTGGTCGCCGCAGAAGACCGATCAGCGACGGCCCGCCGAGAATCTCTTCAAGACGAGGGTCTGCCGCAACTGGGAGCGCGATGGGACATGCGCCGACGGTGCGAATTGTCGGTTTGCGCACGGAGAGCGGGAGCTGCGGGCTCTCGCGCGGGAGCCGCCGCCGCGGCTATGGCGCGTTGATTACCTCCTCGTGCAGCACGGCCACTGCAAGAACAAAGAAGACGCGAAACAGCTCGTCAAGGCCGGGCGTGTGCGCACGGGCTTACGCGGGGAGGTGGTCAAGGCCCCCGGGCAAAAGCTGCCTGGCGACGCGCGTCTCGCTGTCACCCCCGACGGCCAACAACTGGTCGGGATCCTGGATGCGGGGCCCGCGGCGCTCAAGCCCGCGCCCGCGTGCGTCGTCTGCGGCATGCAAGGGGTCATCGCGTCCCATCACATTCGCGACTGCCCCGCCGTCGCCGCCGCCGGCAGCGATGCCGCCCAGGAGCAGCTGATTGAGCAGTCGCGCGCCCAACGCAAGGCCGTACAGCAACGCGTCGTCAACCTCCTCGTGGCACGCGGGCTCTGCAGCTCGAAATCCGCCGCCAGCAAGGCGATCAAGGAAGGGCGGGTCACAAGCGGCGGCGAGACGATCACCGTGATGGTCCCCTTTTTGGCGCCCGACGCGCCCCTCAGCGTGGCAGCTGCCGCCACCTCCCTCCGTTCAGCCGACAAGCGTCCGCCGCCGACAGCCGAGCCTCCCAGTGCGTCTGCTACCAAGCATGCGCGGCCGGGACCGGCACCGTCACCGGCAGCAGCGGCTCCGGCGGCTGCAGCGGCACCAGCAGCGGCGCCGGGACCGGCCCCGGTGCCGGTGGCAGCAGCGGCGCCGGGACCGGCACCGGCGGCAGCAGCGGCAGCGGCAGCGGCAGCGGCAGCGGCAGCGGCAGCCGCAGCACGGGCGGCTCCTGCGGCAGCAGCACGGGCGGAGTGTGCCGTGCCACCGCCGCCGCCGTCGTCACCGTCGCACTCACCGCCAGCGGTGCCGCCGCCGCCCCCGTCGTCGCCGTCGCGCTCACCGCCAGCGATGCTCGAGTTTGGCGACCCGCTGCAGGAGGAGCGGGCTGCGATGCGAAGCGTCAACTTCCCCGCCGGGGCGTCGGAGGGGCGCGCAGGCGGCCCGGCGCGCGGCAGCGAGGTGCCTCGGAAGTGTCTTGGAGGTGTCTCGGGAGGTGTCTCGGACGTGTCTCGGAAGGTGCCTCCCACGGGGTACCTCTGCCACAACTGCAGGCAGCCGGGCCACTGGATCGGAGACTGCCCGCTGCCGCGTCAGAGCAAGCGGCCGAGGGACGACGCGTCCGCCGACGCCGCGAGCGACGCGGGCGAGGGCGCGGTCGACGGCGGCGGCAGAGGAGGCGGAGGCGGCGGAGGCGCAAAGCGTCCTAAGGGCAAAGGAAAGCAAAGCGGGCCTCCGGACGGCTACGTCTGCAGAATGTGCAGCAGCCCCGGCCACTTCATCGCCGATTGCCCGCTCGCCCCGCGAGAGCGCGCGGCGGAGCGGCCTCCGCCCCCCGCCGGCTACGTCTGCCGCAAGTGCAACCAGTCGGGGCACTGGGTCGAGCTCTGCCAGCTGCGCGGGCACCACAACCCCGCGTCCGTGGTGCCGCCGGTCACGCCGAGCGCCGGCGGCGGTAGAGGGGGCGGCAGCAAGTTCTGGCGTACATACATTCTGCCGCTTGTCGACAACCCCATGGGAGAAGGGGCGATGGTGGCGCATCTAGCCGCCCATTCTGCCGCTTGCTCTGGCACCGAGTCGGCGGAGGTCGGGCGCGACGTCGCGGAGGCGCTCGAGGAGGCGGAGGAAGCCGCCACGCTCGGTACGGGCGGCGGCGGCGGCATCGCGGCGCCGCGCCTCGAGACGCCCGAGGAGATTTCGGCGTGGCAGGAGGCGAGGCGCACGAATTGGCCGACGCGCGCCAACATCAAGCGCAAGGCGGAGGAGGCCAGGGCGGCGGAGGAGCCCATGCGCGTCGCCGCCGGCGGTGAAAGCGGGCGGCCGGTGCCGGTGCCGGTGCCGGTGGCAGGCGGGGACTCGCGCCCCTTTGACGTGCCCGACGACTGGCAGCAAGAGCGAGCGAGCAACGCGGCGGCGACGACGACGGCCACCTCGCACGGACTGCCGCCGCCGCCGGTGCCGCCGTCGTTTGCCCCGCCTTCTCTGAATTCCGCCGGGCGGGCGGGCGGGCTGCTTCCCTGTGCGAGGCGCGAGGCGCCGTGGGTCGACGCGACGTCCGAGTACACCTTTTCGGACGGCTCTCGCGTGGCGGCTGTCTCGGGGGGTCCGCCATTGCCGCTGCCGCTCAGCGCCGGTCCCGACGCGAGGGGGGCGGTGGCAGGTGGGGCCCACGCTCTGCAGCAGCAGCAGGTGCGTGGGCGACAGCAGCAGATGCCGCGCTGCCTGCCGCCGCCTCCCGCAGACGAGGCTTGGCGTCCGCAATGGCAGCAACAGCAGATGCAGATGCAATGGCAGCAATGGCGGCGGCAGTACATGCAGGGGGGGGCTCCGCGCGCCGTCCCCCCCCTTGGCTTTCATTTGCTGCCACGCGGCTTGCCACCGCTGCCCCGAGACGTTGCTCCGTCGCCTCACATCTCGCCGCCGCTCCCGCACGGCCCGCCGCCGCTCCCGCACGGCCCGCCGCCGTCGTTCGCGCGCACGACAGCCGCGCAGCCGCTCCACCCGCTGGCGGCGCCCTTCGCCCCTCCCGCCGACTACACGGCCCGTTTTATGTGGTGAAGGCGCTGGGGGGGGGTCGGGACCCCCCCCCAGCATGTGGTGAAAGTAGAAGTACGCCCTGGAAGCGATGTGTGCCCCGAACGATGTGCTGTAAACAACGTCTTGGTGTGAGGCGAGATCTGTAGTCGTCGTCTCATTTTTCAAGCAGTGCCGACCGGCTCTGGCTGCTACGCGCGCTCTCTCAGATCGCGTATTGACGCTGGGCCAGAGAGTTGCGTCCCACGCACACGTAAAATGATCGCTGTCGATCTCTGCGCCGCCCAGCGCGGGGGCGAGTGATTTTGCGCCGTGTCGTCGCGCACCCTCTCCTGCCGTCGCAGCCATCCGCGCCGCCCGCGGAGAGAGGGCCGGTGGGGGGCGGGGGCGGGGG